CCGCATGTCCAAGACGATTCTGTTTGGCCGGATAGAGGGGGCTAAACGGGCGCGGCACGGGGTGGAGAAAAGATGGAGCTGATGTGGTACAGGAGGATGTGGAGCTGAGTGGATTTGTCGATTACTGGTAACCGCGGTGTCTCTGGAGAAGGCTCGTGAAGGACGCTGCTGCTGCGTTATTGGAGGTAGCCGCCCTCCAAAAAACAACGGAGGGCAGAACAGCGACGCTCACAACATCGAGCGGAGCGCCGGTCAGATAAAACTCTGCGAGTTGGCACAGTAGGGGGCACAGGTGGCGCATCTGGGAGGCATCTCAGTCAGTCAACCCATGGCACCCGGGTCTGCCCCGTGACCTCCTTTCGGCGAGCCATCGACACTTCACGTGGCATCAAAGAGCACCTAGCCTGGCACAGGCGCCGTGGTGACGTCACCGTCACTTCGTGGCGAATGTCTGCTGTTGCTGCTGTTGTTGTTGTCTGTGTGTGTCTGTGTGTGTCTGTGTGGCGTGTGTCTGTGTGTGTCGTGTGTCTGGTCTGTGAGTGTCTGCACGCCTCTGCGTCTCATCCCAACCGGCGCCCGAACACAGCCGCGTCCCCACGCGCACGTCGCATCAATCTCCGCGCCGAGTTTAATTGAATCGACTGGGGTGTAATTTAATCGTTGCCTTTAATTGAATGGGGTACATCGCGCCGAGAGCCTGGGCCACTCGCCAGGGTCACATGGAGGCTGTGCGCTGAGTAATACGAGAGACTCCGCGTGTCACGATAACAACTTGGGTCTGGAGACGCGAACACGACGCCGTCTATAGACACGCGGCGAGGGAGTCCGCAGAATCGATCGCAGTCTCGAGACACGAGGCAGTCTCGAGACACGAGGCAGTCTCGAGACACGAGGTTGATACTCGCCGGCAGCACTTGCCCCAAAAAGGTCTGCGGAAGGCTATACGGGGGACCTTTGTCTGTGCCTTGTGTTGGAGAGGGAGCGATGCGAACGCGGGAGATGAGCCAGGGCCTTGTTGTAGGGGAAGTGTATTTAATTTCAGGGGAGGATCGGGGTGCAGAAGGGAGGCAGGAGGATCAGGTTGGGGGGCGAGGGGGGCTGGGGGGGGTGGGCGGGGGGGGGGCTGAGAAACTCTGCCAAGGGCCGCACACTCCGTACAAATCCGTGGCAATCCTCGGAAATCCGCACTAAATTGCAAACTTCAGCGGCTAATAACTTAAGAGCCGCAGACCGTTGCAAGACGCGGGCACTTTTGCACGATTCCCCGCGCGCGTAGAGAATATCTAAACCCGCCACAATACCAGCACACTGCCCTCTCTCTCTGTATGTCTGTCTGCTGGAGTGACACACACTTGCACTGACTCTCTCTCTCTGTCTGTCTGCTGGAGTGACACTCACTGACACTGTCTCTCTCTCTGTCTGTCTGCTGGAGTGACACTCACTGACACTGTCTCTCTGTCTGCTGGAGTGACACACACTGGCACTGACTCTCTCTCTGTCTGTCTGCTGGAGTGACACTCACTGGTACTTTCTCTCTCTCTGTCTGTCTGTCTGCTGGAGTGACACTCACTGATACGGCCTCTCTCTCTGTCTCTGTCTGTCTGCTGGAGTGACACTCACTGACACTGTCTGTCTCTCTGTCTGTCTGCTGGAGTGACACTCACTGGCACTGACTCTCCCTCTCTCTGTCTGCTGGAGTGACACTCACTGACACGACCTCTCTCTGTCTGCTGGAGTGACACTCACTGATACGGCCTCTCTCTCTGTCTCTGTCTGTCTGCTGGAGTGACACTCACTGACACTGTCTGTCTCTCTGTCTGTCTGCTGGAGTGACACTCACTGGCACTGACTCTCCCTCTCTCTGTCTGCTGGAGTGACACTCACTGACACGACCTCTCTCTGTCTGCTGGAGTGACACTCACTGGCACGGACTCTCTCTCTCTCTGTCTGCTGGAGTGACACTCACTGCCTCTCTCTGTCTGCTGGAGTGACACTCACTGGCACACGTGGCGCGTTGAGAGGCGGGATGCGCTGCTCGCAACATCACCACGCGCACTGCTACTGCACTGGGGAGCGGTGATCACCCCCCCCCCCCCCCCACGTGTGATATAAGTGAGCGCTCCCGCCCCCCTCCTATCCCCCCCTCCTCCTCCTCCTCCTACCCCCCTCCACCTCCTCAACCTCCTCCTGTTGAAGCCCCCGCACCCCCCCCCCCACGTCTCCACAACTCCCCCGCCCCCCCCCCTGCTGCGACGAGATGAATGAGCGCCACGTGACACCATCACGTGGTGGCACACAGCGTGGAGTGTACGCCGATGGAGTCGCGTGTGTAAGATTTTTCTATGTTTTCGAATCGGAAATGTTCTATGTTATTGACTCACGTGATACCACCCCCGCCCATCTTTGCAGCCACTTGAATCGAGTCGGGACACTAAATCGTGATAATTGTATCGCGATGCGAGGCGGGTTCTGAGCCGTGCCGGATGATCCTCGTAGCTAAAGTAGCGACATATTGTAGTAGCTACACATGTGTAGTAGCTACACAAGTAGCTACTACACATATTGTAGTAGTTACGGGCCTCGAACTTTCAAGGGCCCCGCGCTAAAATCTTTCAAGCTATCAATTCCGGTTCAGTGATTCTGCACTTGTTCTATTACTATAGTACTATACTGCTTTCAACTTTTATGAACGACCGGGTGTTTAAGGTTAGCGATTTGTCGTATTATCTGGCCGTATAGCAAATGATAAAAAACAATTACTTTACTATGCAAGTAAAAAAAATTGTGTTTTAATATTTACGTGTTTTTAAAATTTTATTTTAGGGCCCCTTTATAACGACATATGCTACAGGCCCCGCACTCGCTTTATCCGGCACTGGTTCGGTAGGGGGTGCGAGTCCACGCCGTGCGCTCACACAGCGGGGACTCTCACCACGACCCCGGAACTGCGCGAGCGAGGATCCTGATCTCATCTGATCCGATTCACCTCCCTCCCCTCTATCCTTTACCCCCTCCCATCTCCCTCCTCTCCTCTTCCTCCTCCCCCCTCCCTCCTACCTGCTCCCTCTCCCTACGTTCCCCCCCCCCCCCTTTCCCTCTCCCAACTCCCTTCTCCCTCCTCCTCCCCCCTCCCTCCTACCTGCTCCCTCTCCCTCCGTCCCCCCCCCCCTTTCCCTCTCCCAACTCCCTTCTCCCTCCCTTCCCCCCTCCCTCCTACCTGCTCCCTCTCCCTTCTCCCTGCGCTCCCCTCCCCCCTCCCCTCTCCCCCTCCCCTCTCCCCCCTCTCCTCTCCCTCCTCCCCCCTCCCTCCTCCCCCCTCCCTCCTACCTGCTCCCTTTCCCTCCTCCCTCCACTCCCCTCCCTCCTCCCCTCTCCCTCCTCCACCCTCCCTCCGACCTGCTCCCTCTCCCTCCGCTCCCTCCCCCCCTCCCCCCCCCTCTCTCCGATCCCCCACACCGGCTCCCTCCATCCATCCTCCCCACTACCACCTCCTCCTCCATCCATCCTCCCTCTTTCATCCCCTGCCCCCCATCCATCCTCTTACTTCGCCCTCCTCCCTCAACCTCCCGACATCCTCCTCTGCTCCCCCACAGAGGCGCGCGAGAGGGAGAAAATAAATAAATAAATCCGATTTCCTGGAACCCCCCTCCCGCTCCCGCCCCTCCCCCCTTCTCTGCGCGCCTCGCCGCTTCAAGGGAGGTCCCAGAACGGGGTTCTTTCCGATTTTAAATCACATCGACGATTCCCACCCCACCCTCCACTGTGATATCATCTATCTGCGGGGGGGGGGGGGGGACCAACAGTATCCCCCTCCCTCCATCCCTCCTCTATCCATCCATCTCTCTCCATCTCCTCCCTGTCGTTATTCCCTCTCCCGCGGTGAGTCCCAGCGTCTCTCGCGAGTACACGCGCGGGATGCCGCGTTAACAGGTGTGCCATTGTACAGGTGAACAGGTGTTCTACTCTACATGTGTGCCGTTGTACAGGTGAACAGGTGTGATGCTGTATCGTTACACACGTGTTCTGCTCTACACGTGTGCCGTTGTACAGGTGAACACGTGTTCTACTCTACAGGTGTGCCGTTGTACAGGTGAACAGGTGTGATGCTGTGCTGTTACTCACGTGTTCTACTCTCCACGTGTGCCGTTGTACAGGTGAACACGTGTTCTACTCTCCACGTGTGCCGTTGTACAGGTGAACAGGTGTGATGCTGTGCTGTTACTCACGTGTTCTACTCTCCACGTGTGCCGTTGTACAGGTGAACACGTGTTCTACTCTCCACGTGTGCCGTTGTACAGGTGAACAGGTGTGATGCTGTGCTGTTACTCACGTGTTCTACTCTCCACGTGTGCCGTTGTACAGGTGAACACGTGTTCTACTCTCCACGTGTGCCGTTGTACAGGTGAACAGGTGTGCAGCTGTGCCGTTACCCACGTGTTCTGCTCTACAGGTGTGCCGTTGTACACGTGAACAGGTGTTCTACTCTCCACGTGTGCCATTGTACAGGTGAACAGGTGTGATGCTGTATCGTTACACACGTGTTCTGCTCTACAGGTGTGTTGCTGTTCAGGTGAGCACGTGTTCTGCTCCACAGGTGTTCCATTGTACAGGTGAGCACGTGTTCTGCTCTACAGGTGTGTTGCTGTTCAGGTGAGCACGTGTTCTGCTCCACAGGTGTTCCATTGTACAGGTGAGCACGTGCTCTACTCCACAGGTGTGCTGCTGTACAGGTGAGCACGTGTTCTACTCCACAGGTGTGCTGCTGTACAGGTGAGCACGTGTTCTACTCCACAGGTGTGCTGCTGTACAGGTGAGCAGCACGTGTTCTGCTCTACAGGTGTGTTGCTGTACAGGTGAGCAGCACGTGTTCTGCTCCACAGGTGTGTTGCTGTACAGGTGAGCAGCACATGTTCTGCTCCACAGGTGTGCTGCTGTACAGGTGACAGGCGAGTGCCGTTGCTGTGCAGGCGGTCGTGCCGTGCGCGCCGTGAAGTCCCTACCGCCCAGGGTGACCACGGTGGCCGGGCCGGCGCGCACCTCCCCGTTGCGCTCGTTGAGGATGTGCGCTCGGTAGGTGCCCGCCTCGCCTCCGGACATCGCCATCACCACGAGGCGACTGTCGTGAGTGATGGCCCTGCGAGGGAGTGTTGGGGGTAGGGTGGGGGGGGGTTAGGAGGGGGTATAGCAAAAGGAATAATTGACGCACAGAAAAGGGCATCAATGCTGGACATGTGGTGACACACAAAAAAACAGCTTTGCAGCTCATCGGATTCCTCCGGGATAAATAAACATTCAGTTTCTGATCATCACCGTCCATGGGCATGCAGTGCAGCCGCGTTCGCAGGCAGAAGCGGCGGCGGGGTTGGTGGGTCGTGCCCAGACTCCCTTCCTACCCGTCGGGACGTCGAGGTGACGGAGCCGGGACCCTCGCTCGCCAGGAGAAAGCGGCACGGCAAAGTGTCGACTCATCTCCATCGGTTCCATGTGCGTGGGATCGAATGTTGCCCCCTCGCTCGCTCGTTCGCATGGAGTTTTTGTTTTTTGTTTTCTTCCCAGAGTGCTCCGATTTACTCGCACGTGTTCATTTGGCCGAAAAATATCTTTATAGATCGAGGATCGCAGAGCACGGGGCAATCGTCGGTAGCGCCGGCTACTCACCGCGTGGTTACTGCTGCCGCCTTCTCGCTCGTCTGCGGTTCACTCCTCCTGTCGTTCTCTGAGTCATTCCCTCTCTCTGTGTTTCTGAGTTGTTCCCTCTCTCTCTGTCTCTGAGTCGTTCCCTCTTTCTCTGTGTCTCTGAGTCGTTCCCTTTCTCTCGGTGTCTCTGAGTCGTTCCCTCTCTCTGTGTCTCTGAGTCGTTCTCTCTCTCTGTCTCTGAGTCGTTCCCTTTCTCTCGGTGTCTCTGAGTCGTTCCCTCTCTCTGTGTCTCTGAGTCGTTCTCTCTCTCTGTCTCTGAGTCGTTCCCTTTCTCTCTGTGTCTCTGTGTCTCTGAGTCGTTCCCTCTCTCTGTGTCTCTGAGTCATTCCCTCTCTCTGTGTCTCTGAGTCGTTCCCTCTCTCTGTCTCTGAGTCGTTCCCACTATTTCCGTGTCTCTGTGTCTCTCTATCATCTGTTCGTTGTCCGTCCACCCCCCGCACCACCGATTAGCACGGGTTGGCTACGAACGGTGCGAACGAAGTTCAACGTACGGTGCATGCGCATACACACACACACACACATCTCTCTCTCTCTGTATGTCTACGGGAGCGAGGCGCGAACACTGCGCAGCTGCGTTTCGCGTTGCCACCGTTCTGAGCACAGCGACCCCCACTGTGACAACAAATTAGAGACTGAGATTCAAGATTATATTATCTTGTTGTTATTGTTTCAAGATTTTGTTTTTCTAGATAGTGGCAGCGGGGGTTAGAGATGGAGAGAAACGCGAACTGCTCAGTAAATGAGAATAGGATTTCCCCTTTTTTCTGGCAACAAAAACAGCTGTGTTTAGATGTTTAAACACCAAACTGAAACCTTTTTACAAGGAATCATGTCAGCATTAACCACAATGCTTGTCGTCAGAATGCAAACAAAAAACATACTCTGATAATATATGCATTGCCTTTGAAACTGATTGGTCCACGCCTGAGACAGCTTTCTTTTGAGCCTCGTCTCAAACGGTGTTAGACCAGAGGACGCCAAAAGGCGTACACAGCACAAAGACAATGCGCTATCAGAGTAATGAGGGCTGGGGGAGAGCAGCTACATCATGGGACCTCCTTTGCCAGTACCAAAATATGATAATAGGCTTTTCCCCTGGTCTAACACCGTTTGAGACGAGGCTCAAAAGAAAGCTATCTCAGGCGTGGACCAATCAGTTTCAAGGACAATGCATATATTATCAGAGCGTGTTTTTTTGTTTGCATTCTGACCACAAGCATTGTGGTTAATGCAGACATGATTCCTTGTAAAAGGTTTCAGTTTGGTGTTTTAACATCTTAACACCTGTTTTTGTTGCCAGAAAAAAGGGGAAAAACCCATTATCATATTTTGGTACTGGCAAATGAGGTCCCATGATGCTCAGTCCATGCCGCTGCTGCTTATCAACCGCACTGCGATTTGACGTCGCGTTTCAAATCCATCACGCGATTTCGTTTAAGTGCACCCAGAGCTCGCTGGCCTTCTCACATCAACACAAACACGCAATGTAAATTACATTTAAAATGCCACCACCGCTACCACCACCGCTACGTGCGTACGTATGGCAGCAGCCGTAGGAGAGGCATTATGATCATCATGATTATTTGACTGCTGATGATGATGATGACGAATTGGAATTGCTGGCTTGTGATGTTTGTGTAATGTGTGGAAGAGCGCTCGACAGCGCCCGGCAGCCGAGAGGGCAGCGACGCGGCGAGATCTCTGCGCACGCTACTCTACGTCAAGTATAGCGACGCGTGTGTGTGTGTGTGTGACCGTGTGTGTGTGTGAACGTGTGTGTGTGTGTGACCGTGTGTGTGTGTGACCGTGTGTGTGTGTGACCGTGTGTGTGTGTGTGTGAACGTGTGTGTGTGTGTGTGTGACCGTGTGTGTGTGCGCGTGTGACCGTGTGTGTGTGTGACCGTGTGTGTGTGTGACCGTGTGTGTGTGTGACCGTGTGTGTGTGTGACCGTGTGTGTGTGCGCGTGTGGGGAGCGGTAGTGTAGCGGTTAGCGCGCTGCGCGGCGAACCCGGCGATCCGGGTTCGATTCCCACTCACGGCCAATGCCAGTGACGATTGTCTGAACCGGTCCTGGGCCTCCCCTAGGTCGACTCTGTCACAAATGAGGACCTGGTGCGGTGTGTAAACATCGCCACTGGGGAGACAAAGGCGGTCGGTCGTGGTGCTGGCCACCCACCCCCTCGTGTACCGTTCCGGCCTTCATAGATGCTCGCTAACAGCACTTGCCCCTACAGTCTGTTAAGGCTATACGGGGGATCTTTGTATTTCGTGTGTGTGCGTGTGTGTGCGTGTGTGACCGTGGTGTGTCCGTGTGTGCGTGCGTCCGTGTGTGTGCCTGTGCACACACCGGTTCTGGGCCTTCTGTAGGTCACCCCAGCCTTAAATGAGTACCTACCGCGACGCGCAAACATCGCCACTGGGTTTGAATGACAAAGTCCCTCGTTTACCAGTGGTGGTCTCCAGGAGGTATCTGCCAACAGCACGTGCAGCCTCCTTCCAAACACAAAACACAAAACCCCTGGCATCGTACAGGGGGTGTGTAGGAAAGGCGGAATCTTTCACTTTGCGGCGCTAATAATCTCGAGGAGTCGCATTCGCTCGGCTAAAAGTGAGTTTCAAACGAGCGATCATAAAGTGCGCGCTGCGGGAAGGACGCACAGTGGATGGTTTGAAAGGGTCCCGCTGGTGCCGTGATGTATGTGTGTGTGTGAGAGAGAGATGGGGGTTGAGTGGGCTGTGCTGAGTTGGGGGGTGGCGGTGTTTGTCAGACTGATGGACAGGCAGAACGAGAGACAGATAATCCCGGGGTAGAGACACGGGCGAGGGGGCAGTCAGTGGGAGAGACGGACACACAGTGAGAGGGACAAGAGAGTGAGACGGCGATCCTGGCCGTGGTGCAAAGGGACAGGCGTGAGAGACAGCCAGACACAGTGATGCCGTAGAGGCGCGGAGACAGACACTCAGTGAGATAGACAGTGAGACAGAGACACTGAGACAGAGACAGTGAGACAGAGAGAGTGAGACACTCAGTGAGATAGACAGTGAGACAGAGACACTGAGACAGAGACAGTGAGACAGAGAGAGTGAGACACTCAGTGAGATAGACAGTGAGACAGAGACACTGAGACAGAGACAGTGGGAGAGAGAGAGTGAGACACTCAGTGAGATACTCAGTGGGACAGATACACTGAGACAGAGACAGTGAGACACTCAGTGGGAGACTCAGTGGGACAGACACTGAGACAGTGAGACACTCAGTGAGACACTCAGTGGGATAGAGACAGTGAGACACAGAGACAGTGAGATACTCAGTGGGGGACTCAGTGGGATAGAGAGTGAGACAGAGACAGTGAGACACTCAGTGGGACAGTCAGTGAGACAGAGACACTGAGACAGAGACACTGAGACAGAGAGTGAGACACTCAGCGAGACAGATACACTGAGACAGAGAGTGAGACACTCAGCGGGACAGGCGAGAGGGGGAGACGCAGGGTAGGAGCCGCTCCTCTTGGCTGGCGTGCGGACCCCACGTGACCGCCTCCCACGCCACTAATCACCTCGGGCTCCAATTAAACCTCGTAAAGATCACCCCGCCCCCCACAATCACCCCCCCCACCATTACCCCCCCACCATAACCCCCCCCACCACCCACCACCCTTCTCCACCCCCCACTCTACAACGCCGCCACGTGAATGTGTACGGGCGACGATTGCAGTCGATTGGGACTGTGAACGCGAGCTTTCAAACGTGTGAACCGACAACCTCGTAGTTGAGATCGAATAATTGTGCATGTGTAATGCTCCTCCTCCTCCTTCATCATCATCATCGGCCATGGTCGATCCGCTGCTGGATGAAGGCCTCCCCGAGCCGCCACGACATCGCTCGCGGTTTCCCCGCGACGCTTCGATGTCCGCTGAGCACCACCCTCATCCATCGCTCCGTGGAGATGGAGCGATGGGAATGTTTTACCTTTGCGTTCAACATAACAGCGCTAGCGGGGGGGGGGGGGCACGGCAGTGGGCATGGAACAGGGAGCAGGACCCCCCCTATCCCTTCCCTCCCTCTCCTCTCAACGGTGTACAGAACGAGGGAAAAAGATGCTGGAAGGTGACACTGACGGCTGCTCTGTGGTGCTTCCAGTGTTCAGGGGCCTGCTGAAGGCGCGGCTCCGGCTGGAGCACGCCATGTACCACACACATGTCGGTGATGTGCAGCGCGTCTTCTTCGAACGCTGGGGAGCCGGACAAGCCCCTCTTTGTACCAGCGTGGACGGCACCCTCGTGTTCACCTGCTGAAGCGCTCGCTCGTCACCGTGGCGTGCGCGATGACCACCACCACGTGACGTTTCTTTCGTGTTGTACGCGCTGCATTTAGCACCACAGCGCGTGGATTTATTGCAATTATTTGTGTTGCTGGTGACTTTGTGTATTTCATATCGGAATCACCTCCAGTAATGTTGCTGCTGGCGGCAATAAAAGTTGTTTAAAAGTCAAGTCTTCTCCTGGAGTGGCCGCAAGTGATTGATTGGAGGGGCCGGGGTCAGGGTCAATTACGCAGCGGTGGGAGAGAGGGTGGGGGGAAAGAGAGAGTGGGGGGGGGGGGAGAGAGAGTGGGGGGGGGGGGGAGATAGAGAGTGGGGGGGGAGATAAAGAGTGGGGGGAGAGATAGGAAGAGAGTGAGCGAGGAAGGGCAGGAGGAGTGGGATGCGACAGCGGATGAGACACAGAGGCAGAGTTTGGGATGAGAAAACGACGGAGGAGAGAGCGGTAGGGAGAGAGTTGGTGGGGGGGGGGGGGGTGAAAGAGTACGAGGAAGGAGAGCGAGAGAAGAGGTGGGAGAGCGAGAAGAAGGCAGAGCCAGCGGGAGAGAGAGAGGGGCAGAGCGCAGAAGAGGTGAGAGTGCAGGCTGGAGGGTGGGAGAGAGGGCGGTGGGGGGGTGGAGAACCGGAGAGAGAGAGGAAAGGTGGCAGAGCGAGAAGAAGGGGGGACGAGGGGGGAGAGGGGGGAGATGAGCGCCGCGGTGATGACACGGGTGAGACAGCGTGGACCCGGGGATCGATATTCGCGCCCGCGATGTGCGAGTAACAGAATAAAATAACAGCGCCGAGGGGGAGCCGTGTGTGTGTGGGGGGGGGGGGGGGGGGGTGGAAGGGAGCAGGTGGGGGGTTGGGGGCAAGAGCAGAGGAGGCAGGAGAGAGACAGGGAGAGTGCGGGGAGAATGGAAGATCGGGGGAAACAACGTACGGCGCGCGAGCGGAGAGATCGAGTGGGCGCGGAGGGGCGGGGGCAGGGGGAGAGACGGAGGAGAGAAAATGAAAAAGGAGAATTCGGGGAAATGGGAGCAGCGGGGAGAGGGAGGGTGGAGCATGGGGGGAAGGGGGGAAGGGGAGTCAGATGGAGCCGGGCTCACGGTCTCTGGGAAGTTCGTACGGGATGGCATCTCCCGCGATTACAGCGGGGAACACGGGGGGGGGAGCGGGAGACGGAGAGAGAGGGGGGGTGGATAGGAGAAGGGAGCGGGGTAATGAGAGCGAGAGCGGATAATTGAGAGAGTGGGGAATTGAGGAGCGGAGCGGGGAAGAGCGCGGGGAAGAGAGAGTTGGGGAGAGGGTGGAATAGAGAGAGAGGGAGAGAGAAGACGGAGAGCTCTGCATGCAGATCTGAGCTACTCGTGGGAGGCCGTAGGACTGCGAGAAGGGTTGGGTGCAGATGCAGCACTGGTCGTAGCAACAGAAAAATAATTACAAATATTACATAGAACACTGGGCGAACATAGGCATAGAGTAGAGAGAGAGTGGGTAGAGAGAGGGGATGGGGTAAGAAGGAGGAGAGCAGAGCGTGAAATATTTTGTGAAATCTTTCATTTAAAAGGGGGAGGGGGGGAGGGGCACATAAAGCAAAGCATTGGAAAAAAAAACCGCGAAATGATGAACGAAGCAAAGTGCCGACTACACCGAGCATCTTCTTGTTTCATCTGATCGTAAAAAAAAAGATAGAGAGAATGGGGAAGAGAGAGAGAGAGAGTTGGGGAGCAGGGGAGGGTTCGGGGCGACCCCCCCGCGGTCTCTGGAGGCGGCTGTAATTACCCGCTCTTGCCGCTATTCCATATTCCGCGGCATTCTTCACGTTGCGTTATTAAGCAGAGAGGCCTTTGTGTCGTTGTAAGAGCGCACAAAGGAAACAAAATGATTTGAAGCATTTTTAGATTGCATTAAATGAGCGGCGTGCGCGCGCGTGTGTGCGTGTGTGTGAGTGAGGAGCGGTGGCGTAGTGGTTAGCGCGCTGCGCTACGAATCCGGCGACCCGAGTTCGATTCCCGCTCACGGCCAACACCCAGTGACGATTATCTGAACCGGTCTTGGGCCTCCCCGAGGTCGACTCAGCCTCAAATGAGTACCCGGTGCGGTGTGTAAACATCGCCACTGGGGAGACAAAGGCGGCCGGGCGTGGTGTAGGCCATCCAACCCCCTCGTGTGCCGTGCCGGCTTTCGTAGGTGCTCACTAACAGCACTTGCCCCTACAGTCTGTTAAGGCTACACGGGGGGTCTTTGTCTTTGTGTGCACGAGTGGTCGTGTAGCGGCCAGCGCACTGCGCTATGTGCCGAGGCCGGCGACCCGAGTTCGATTCCCGCTCACGTCCAGTAACAGCGGCGACTTTTCTAACGGGACCCGGTTCTGCCCCTAAGTCGACTCAGCCTCAAATGAGCGCGTGGAGCGGTCTATACATCAGCATTGGGGCGGGGGGAGACAAAGGTGTCCGGGATTGGTGCTGACGAACACCATCCTCTCGTGCGCCGTACCCATCTTCATAGAGGCGCTCGCTAACGGCCCTTGCCCCGACAGTCTTTGAAGGCTGTAGGGGGATCTTTGTCTTTGTTGTGTATGTGTGTGAGAGTAATTGTGTGTGCGTGTGTTTGTTATCAGACTTTAAAGAAACTTCAACATTGTATTTAGATTTCCCTTCTTCCAATTTGTCCCGAGACGGAGAAAATTGTAATTTTTAGAATTTCAAATTAAGGCTATAATTTAATTGCACGATAATAACAAGGCTGATTAAACTAATTTTTTTTAAATGCTTTTCTCTCACAGTTCCACGGAATTTACCCAGAGGACAGGAAGGCATTAGAGTAAATGACAATTAAAACATTCATTTTCTCTTTGAAAACAGCGAATGAAACACATAATAACCCGACGGGAAACGCAGTGTCTTTAATGCACCTCCATCAATAAAATAAAATTATATTTTTCTACCTACGTGACTTTATCGAAAGAAGCAAAGAGTATGGATTCCTGCAGTCACGAAAGCTTCAAATCAAGATTGCACCTCCATCGACATCACAAAAACAACAGGCGTCATTCGCCACTAAGTGCCGGCGACGTCACCTCGTCACTTGTGCCAGGCTAGGTGCACTCTGAGGCTATCGCGTGAAGTGTCGAAGGCTCGCTGCTGGCAGGAGGTCACGGCACGGACCCAGGTGCCATCGGTTGATGGAGATGACTGGCAGATGCACCAACTGTGCCAACCCCCCCCACCCCGACTGTGCCAACATGCTGTGTTTTATCCGCCCGGCGCTCCACACGTTGTTGTGAGCGTCGCTCACTCCAATAAACCTCAGCACAATGTGTGTGTGTGCGTGTGTCCCCTTTCACAAAAACAACAAACCCACGTGGGGAGCGGTGGCGCAATGGTCGGCGCACTGCGCTGCGAACCCGGCGACCGAAGTTCGACACCAGTGACGATTTTATGAATCGGTCCTGAGCCATCCCTTAGGTCGACTCGGCCTCAAATGAGCTCCTGCTGCGGTGTGCAAACATCTATAGGTGCTGCTCGTTCACAGCGCTTGCCCCGACAGTCTGTTAAGGCTATACGGGGGGAGTCTTCATCTTTTTAATCCTTTAACAAGAATATAGTACAAGCATTGTATAAGATAGACGTTTCGGGCAACGGCTCTCTTCATCACAGCACACCACTCGACTTATCTGGCCTCTCTACGTTGGTGTGTTCTGACGAAGGGCAATAGCCTGGAACCGTCGCATATTATACATTTGCTGTTCTTTTATAGCGCAACGATAATGTTGTTGTTGTTGTGTTGTTTGTGCACGAATGCAAACGCAGGCAGCAGCAGCATCAATCACCGACTCCATGACGCGCATCTTCGTGAGAGCGGCGTGAATGGGAAGCTCGCTTCTCGAAGACTCCCGTGTGATGTCTGTGAATCAGAGCGGCTCCGGCTGATTCCGAACGCGCCCGGACAAAGCGCGCGTTACCTTGCAGCTGATCACACAGAGACAAAGATCCCGCCAGGTAGCCTTAACATACTTTTGGGAGAAGTGCTGTTGGCTAGCTTCCCGGCGCAGTACACAAGGTGGAGGTGGGGGGGTTGGTGACCGCCACTACCGCCGGCCGCCTTTGTCTCCCCAGTGGCGATGTTGACGCACCGGCTGAGTGAACCGTCAGGGGGAGGCTCAGAACGGGTTCGGATATAATCCTCGCTGGTGTTGGTGGCCGTGAGCCGGAATCGAACTGGGAGCCGCCGGGCGCAGCGCGCTAACCACAGCGCCACCGCTCCCCGCTACAGGCACTCACACACGGGGTGTTCGTACACACACAGAAACTCTCACGCGTGTGCTCACACGTGGGTCACTCACACACGTGCTACCGACACACACACGCGTGTACTCACACTCGGGGCCCGGTTGACACTTTGCGACCTTCGCGGAACCACGTGATCTGCGCGGGGGGGTGGCTGGCGACGCGGGGGGGGTCCAGGATGAGGGTCCCGCCACGCGACACCACCACGCGCCTCTCGCCCCCATCCTGCACCTCGCCCAGGTCTGTCAACAACAACAACAACCATCACCACCACCACGCGCCTCTCGCCTCCGTCCTGCACCTCCCCAGGTCTGTCAACAACAACAACAACCATCACCACCACGGATACAACACCACCACCACCACTAACCCCACCCACACATTCACACGGTGAGAGAGGGGGGGTCAATACCCGCAGCTGACCAAGCGAGTTTGCTAATGTCCCCACATCTCTCCGTGTTTCACCAACCCTTGCCTACAGGCCCGGCTTGCGAGTAGCTGCCCTGAACAAGGGTAATGGCCCGAAACGTTAGCCGACTGCTGTGTATTTATATATACATACATATGTGGTATATATTTAGCAACCATCGTGTTCCGCTAAAGTAAGGTTCTCTGTTGAAAGATTCCAGCCAACCTTGGCGGACCAGGAACTCATTTAAGGCTGAGTCAACCTAGGAGAGGGCCAGGACCGGTTCAAATATTCGCCACTATTATTGGTCGTGTCGTCCGTGCTGTGGACCCCTCCTTGCTCAAGACCGATCCTTGCCTTTCCCTTTGCACTGCGGTGGCTAGGAGATGTTAACTACCTCGCCTGGTACACGGGAGGTCGTGGGTTCGATACCAACCCTGACGCCTGCGGTGTATTTGGAGGTTTTCGCGTCTCTCTCTCGTCGTCCGGCTCCTTCGGGTTGCTCCCCCCATCTCCCTCCACATTTAGAAACAACAGTCACGGCGTTTAGAGCAGGGGTCCCCAACCCCCGGGCAGCACAGCACGAGGTGAGTGCGGTGAGTACGCACGTGGCCCGCCGCCATTATTTTATTTACCACTTCCGTCCGCTCCTCCTTCCCGCACTGCGCACTCGTCTCAGTCACAGTGTTGGTAAGCCCACAAGCTCTAACCCCTAGTAGCCAAAATGAGTAAAAAAACAAACGTCGCTGGAGAGCTTCTTTGGAAAGGGGGAAAGACCCAATGATGACCCCCCCCCTCTCCCCGGTCCGTGAAAAAATTGGTCTTCCACGAAACCGGTCCCTGGTGCCAAAAAGGTTGGGGGCCGCTGGTTTCGAGTGTTTGGATGCTGCACATTTCCACGTGTCGACCCACCTCGTTGAGCCATCATTTGTGATAGCCAGGTCGCTGCTGAGAATAAAAGCGATAGAGCTCAATGGGGCCTTACCTGGTAAAATACAAACAAATTGTATCGTTTTCTGTTTTACAGTTTGCCTGTGAGACTGCCTGGGGTCCCGTCTGTCTGCCAGTCTCTCTTTGTCTCTCTCCCGCGTGAATCGGGTCGCTGCGTCTCCACCCTGGAGATGTGGTCGCACTGAAACGACCACTACAGCCGATGCACATGGCCGCATGCACGTGGCGGTGAGGGTCAGTGTCTGTGTGTGTCTGTGTGTCTGTGTGGGGAGAGGTAGTCTAGCGGTTAGCGCGCTGCGCTACGAACCCGACAACCCGAGTTCGATTCCCGCTCACAAACACCGGTGACGATGATCTAAACCGGTACTGGGCCTCCCCTAGATCGACTCAGCCTCAAATGAGTACCTAGTGCGGTGTGTAAAGATTGCCACCCACCCCCTCGTGTGCCGTGGCGGCCTTCATAGGTGCTCGCTAACAGCACTTGCTCCAACAGTCTGTTAAGGCTACACGGGGGATATTTGTCTTTGTGAGTAAGTGCGTGTGTGTTAAATTGGAATGTGTGTGTTGTGTGTGTGTGTTCAGTGGGAGTGTGCGTGTGTGTTAAGTGCGTGTGTGTTAAGTGGGAATGTGTGTGTGTTAAGTGCGAGTCGTATGATGATTATAGAGTGAACGTCCGAACCACGCTGCGCCTACCTCCACGCCGCTGCTAAGGCAGCAGCAGCAGCAGCAGCCTGTCTGCACGTGATCGGGGAGGGGGAGTGAGCGTGTGTATGTGGATTGTTTGTTTGTGGTCCAGGTGTCGTGTTTGTAATATTCCGTCACCTTATCGGCTGCAGACACGCGCCGCTGAGCCGAGGATTGCGTCGCTGCCGGGATTGTGTGGGCGCGCGAGCGCTCGCGGGGGAGCGGTGGGGCAGTGGTTAGCGCAGCGCGCTACGAACTCGGCGACCAATGAGGGTCCAGGGCCCTCCGTTAGGTCGACTCAGCCTCAAAATGGATTACCCGCCGCGCTGTAGTAACATCAGCATCGGGGAGACACAAAGGCGGCCCGGCGTGGTGCTGGCCACCCAAAACCCTCGTGATAACGCAGTACCGTCCGTCATCGTAGGCGCTACTCGCTCATGGCACTGGCCCCAGAAATCTGTTCAAGGCTATACTGGGGATCTATTGTTTTTGTGTACGTGTGTGTGTGCGCGCGTGTGTTGTATGTACGTGTGTGTGTGTTGTATGTACGCGTGTGTGTATACACGTGTATGTGCGCGTGTATTGTGTGTGCGTGCCCGTGTGTGTGCGTGTTGCCGTGTGTGTGTATGTGTGTGCGCGCGCATGTGTGTTGTATGTGCGCGTGTGTATACGCGTGCCCGTGTGTGTGTACGTGTGCGTGCGCGTGCCTGTGTGTGTGTGTGTGCGCGTACCCGTGTACGTGTCCGTGCACGTGTGCGCGTGCCCGTGTGTGTGTACGTGTGTGTGTGCCCGTGTGTGTGTGTACGTGTGTGTGTGCGTGCCCGTGTGTGTGTGTGTGTACGTGTGTGTGTGCCCGTGTGTGTGTGTACGTGTGTGTGTGCGTGCCCGTGTGTGTGTGTGTACGTGTGTGTGTGCCCATGTGTGTGTGTACGTGTGTATGTGCGTGCCCGTGTGTGTGTGTACGTGTGTATGTGCGTGCCCGTGTGTGTGTGTACGTGTGTATGTGCGTGCCCGTGTGTGTGTGTGTGTGTACGTGTGCGCGTGCCCGTGTGTGTGTGCGCGGGCCCGTGTGTGTGTGTACGTGTGTGTGCGCGTGCCCGTGTGTGTGTGCGCGTGCCCGTGTGTGTGTGTGTGCGCGTGCCCGTGTGTGTGACCGTGTGTGTGCGCGTGCCCGTGTGTGTGTACGTGTGTGTGTGCCCGTGTGTGTGTGCGCGTGCCCGTGCGCGTGCCCGTGTGTGTACGTACACACGACTTGCACCTCCGTGGGCGGCTGCAGCAGAGCCCCGAACTTGTTCCTGGCCACGCACTGATAGGAGCCCGCGTCCTCGGGCCGCACAGATGGGATCACGTACCTGGGGGGAGGAGGGGTGACACACGGGGTGAGGGGGAGTGACACGAGGGGGGGAGTGACACAAGGTGGGGGGGGGGGGTGTGACACGTACCTGGGGGGAGGAGGGGGTGACACGGGGGGGGGGGGAGTGATAGGGGGGGGGAGTGACACAAGGTGGGGGAGTGAGTGAGTGAATGACACACGGGGGATTGGGGAGTGAGTGACATACGCGGAGGTGAGTGACAAACGGGGGGGGGGGGGCGTGTGAGTGACACAGAGGGAGAGAGAGAGAGGGAGTGACACGTGGGGGGGGGGGGGGGAGTGACAGGAGGATTGATGACAGAGATCAGAGCCCCGTGATTTAATCACGCGAAGAAGTCTCCCATATAAGAGCGCGCACCGAGAGATGATGACGCCACGGCTTTGTGTCGCACGGACAGTGGGAGGAGGGAGGACGGCGAGCCTGAGATTGCATTTCGCGGTTTATTGTTTTTATGGCTTCTGGCAGATAAATGTTCTTCCACCTCAAGTAACCTCACGGGCTTCGCCCGCTGGCGGCAAGCAGCAAGCAAGCAACCAGCAACCAGCAACTCGAGTTCGATTCACCGACCCACGGATAGCGAGCCTCATGGTGGGCCGAGTGATACGCAGACATCCCTCGCCCTATACGGTGGCGGTGGTACTAGATGCGTTCCACCCTCCCAGCACGGGTTCAGCACGGGTTCAGCACGGGTAAGGCGCGCGCACGGGTTCAGCACGGGTCCAGCACGGGTAAGGCGCTCGCACCTGTCCCCGCCACACGTAACCACTGCATTGACCAGCATGGTGAAGTATGGTTACACAACAACCACCGCCCCCCCCCCCCCCCTCTCCAGGGAACCGTCACGGCGTGGAGAGGCTCTTTCGACGCCCCTACATTGCCTTGCATTCCACGTGCGCATTGGCCCAGTTTCGCTTGACCACAGCGGCTATCAGTCCCTCCCCCACGGACTCTGCGCCGGCTGCAATCACGACTCCGAACCAAAGCAGAGGGGGGCAAATAATATAGGGGCGGTGGGGGGGCTTGGCGAGGGCGTGGGTGTACACCCCCCCCACCCCCACCACCACTCCCAGGGTCTGCTGCTCTCTCCGCGCCGACTCCGTGTCACGTGGGCGCGGCTCCCCCCTCCCAGTGGCTCCTCCCTCCCCATGGCTCCCTCTCTCCCCGTGGCTCCTCGCGCCGCGTGGCTCCCTCCCTCCCCGTGGCTCCCTCCCTCCCCGTGGCTCCCTCCCTCCCCATGGCTCCCTCCCTCCCCGTGGCTCCCTCCCCGTGGCTCCCTCCCTCCCCGTGGCTCCCTCCCCGTGGCTCCCTCCCTCCCCGTGGCTCCGCTCGAGATGAGCTCGAGCGGGGACGGCTCCGTTACATCTCACGGGGAGAGTTCAAGGCCAAAGACAAAGATCCCCCCCCCCAGTACAGCCTCTAACAGACTGTTGGGGCAAAGTTGCTGTTAGCACGGCACACGAGGCGGTGGGTGGCCAGCATCACACCCGGCCGCCTTTGTCTTCCTGGCGGCGACGATTGCACATCACACGCCGGGTTACTCGTTTGAGGCTGAGTCGACCTCGGGGAGAGGGCCCAGGACCTGGTTCAGACAATCGTCACTGGGTGTTGGTGGCCGTGGGCGGTCGCCGGGTTCGTAGCGCAGCGCGCTAACCACTGCGCCACCGCTCCCCACAACGCTTACACTCCGCTCATCCACATCCCTAAACAAAGCGACTTTGTGCACTCACCACCCCCCCCCCACACCCGCCCAGCTCACTCCGCTCACTCTCGCCCCAACACTTTCCTCCAACTCCTTTCTCTCGCCATCCTCTCACTCAATCTCAATCTGAAGAGAGGCGAGATAGGACGGCACTAACAGCCACTCATGGGCCTCCCTCCCCGCTCTAGCAAGGCAGACGGGCTGATAAATCGGCGCCCGCAGATAGACGGCACGCCTAGAGAGACGGGGGAGAGAGAGAGAGAGGGAAGTTGGAGAGGGGTGGAGGTGGGGGCAGATGAGGGGGGGGGGGGTCTCCCGCAGGGAGAGGGAAATCGGCCAGGCACAGGCAGAGACAGCCGAGACACAGCGGGAGAGACACAGCAGACTGGCGGAGTAATTCACAGATATGCATACACACACACACACACAGGTCACCCGTATAGCCTTTAACAGACTGTTGAGGCAAGTGCCTGTAGCGAGCACCTATGAAGGCCGGAACAGCACACGAGGTGGTGGATGTCCAGCACGCCGCCCGGCCGCCTTCGTCTCCCTAATTGCGATTTAAACAAAGAAAAACACCGCACCAGGTACTCATTTAAGGCTGAGTCGACCTAGAAGAAGCCCACGACTGGTTGCGATAATCGCTGTCACTGTTGTTGGTGACCTTGAGCGGGAATCTAACCTGGGGACAGTTAGGTTCGTAGCGCAGCGCGCTAACCACTGCGCCACCGCTCCCTTGACCCCCCCCCTCCCCCACTACCCCCACTACCCCCCACTACCCCCCAATACCCCCTACTACCCCCACACACTCTCACGCTGAAAGCCCCGCACGGCTCACCGCCTATAGCACGTGGACACGAAACCGCGGACACTCGGAAAGCGACCGCACGCGCAACCTCGCCAGCCAATCAAAACACGCCTCGCTCACGATGCACGCGGAAGGCAAAGATCCCACCCACCACCCCAGAGCTTGCGTACATTGTTGGGGTGGGTGCAGTTAACGAGAGCACAGATTTAAAGGCTGCACAGAGTTGGGAGGGGGGCAAGGCCGTATATATAATATATATTGAGGGACACACACACACATCCCCCCCCCCGATATTCAAATATGCTCAAAATGTCCCCCCCACAATATATTGCTACAAAATAGATTTCTGTTTATATGATTGCGGTTATGGTTGTACTTTATTAATCCCTAATCTCTGCCATTACATATAATGAAACAAGAAAAATGTGAAACATAACAAACCACAGCAATGTAATACAATACACTATTAGACATTATTGTAGTGAATGTTTAAATATTTTACGCAGGAAATGGCAGGAAATTCGTTTTCTGATTAAAATTTTTTCTGGGGGGGGGACCCCCAGATCCCCTGGAAGATTTGATCCCCCCCAATGTTGACTCCCTGGCTACGGCCTTGGGGCAGGGGGGGGGGGTAACGCCACGATCGGTAACCTCGTCTCCACCAGTGGCGATGCTTGCTACACACACAACGGGTACTCATTTAAGGTTGAGTCGACCTAGGGAAGGCCCAGCACCTCGCCGGTGTTGTCCGTGAGTGGGAATCGAACTCGGGCGGCGGGGTTCGTAGCGCAGCGCGCTGACCACTACACTACCGCTCCCCACTCGCGCGCACACACACACGCACACACGCACACACTACTCGCGCACACACACACACACTTGTGCACGCCGCTCATTTAATGCAATCTGAAAATGCTTTAAATCATTTTGTTTCCTTTGTGCGCTCTTACAGCAACACAAAGACCTCGCTGCCTAATAACGCAACGCTAAGAATGCTGCGACACTGCACTGCCACTTGTTACTAAAGACAAAGATCCCCCGTATAGCCTTAACAGACTGTAGGGGAAAGTGATGTTAGCGAACACCTATAAAGGCCGGAACGGTACGAGGGGGTGGGTGGCCAACACCACGCCCGGCCGCCTTTGTCTCCCCAGTGGCGATGTTTACACACCACACCAGGTACTCATTTGAGGCTGAGTCGACCTAGGGGAGGCCCAGGATCGGTTCACTGGTGTTGGCCGTGAGCGGGAATCTTTGCGCAGCGCGCTAACCGCTGCCACACTCCCGCTCCCCACATACAAAGACAAAGATCCCCCGTATAGCCTGAACAGACTGTAGGGGGAAGTGCTGTTAGCGAGCACCTATGAAGGCCGGAACGGTACACGAGGGGGTGGGTGGCCAGCACCACGCCCGACCGCCTTTGTCTCCCTAGTGGCGATGTTTACACACCGCACCAGGTACTCATTTAAGGCTGAGTCGACCTAGGGGAGGCCCAGGACCGGTTCAGATAATCGTCACTGGTGTTAGCCGTGAGCGGGAATCGAACCTGGGTCGCCAGGTTCATAGCGCAGCGCGCTAACCGCTGCCACACTCCCGCTCCCCACAACATACAGACACGTACACACACACACGTACACACACACATACACACACACACGTACACACGCACACACACGTACACACGTACACACACACACGTACACACACACACGTACACACACGTACACACACACACGTACACACACACGTACACACACACACGTACACACACACACGTACACACGCGGTCAAAAAACAAAGAGAAGCAACATTACCGACCACTCGCCGAGACACAGAACAAACACACACACACGCACTCACGCACTCACAGAGAGACTCGCAATTAAACAATTACGCGCGGGTCTTGCTCGCCCTCTCGGCGCCAACCATCAAATGAGTTGACGACAAACAACAAAGGGGGTGGGGGTGGGGGGAGCGGAGTGCGCCGTGCTCCTCACGGTCACCCCACCTCCCTCCACTCTGCATCCCGCCACTCCGTGACGAATCGTGAGCGCCGCGTCACGAGCAGGGCACGGGCACCCCCCCCTCCCAACTCCAACCCCCCTCCCTCCCCCCTCAACCTCCCTCCCTCTTCCATCCCCTCCCTCCTCCACTCCCCTCCCCTTCCACTTCCTCCTCCAACCCCCTCCACCCCCTCCCTCCACCCCTCCCTCCTCCACCCCTCCCTCCTCCACCCCTCCCCCTCCCTCCTCCACCCCTCCCTCCTCCACCCCTCCACCTCCTTCCCTCCTCCACCCCCTCCCTCCTCCACCCCCTCCCTCCTCCACCCCCTCCCTCCTCCACTCCTCCTCCTTCCTCCATCCCCCTCCCTCCACCCCTCCACCTCCCTCATCCATCCCCTCCCTCCACCCCTCCACCTCCTTCCCTCCTCCACCCCTCCCTCTTCCACCTCCCTCCCTCCTCCACCTCCAT